ACACACACACACACACACACACACACACACACACACACACACACACACGAGGGATTTTCCATGTTTCTTCTTCAGACATATAAACAGAGAAAACATACCAGAAAAACCTAACAGACTGTCTGCTTACTGTCGTTCCTGCAGTTCAGGAGGTGAAAATGAACCCATAACTCACCGCTCAGCCTCAGCCAGCTTCTCCAGCCGGTACCGCTCAGCCTCTGCAGGTTTCTTCACCTTGGCCTCCAGCTCTTTCTCCTTGCGGGTGATCTCCTGCTCCTGCAGCATGATCTGCTGCGCCCGCTCAACCACCTGCACTTGCATCTTCTCACTCTCAATAGACTGCTTCGTCTTCGCTACCTGCCAGAGGAAAACAGATCATACATGTATGTCTGTACACATAATATTCTTCATTTAATATCATGAATTGTAAAAATGTTGTTGATTTGTAATAAGTTTAAAACGTTTGGCCTGCAGTTATAATTAAAGAAATGCTGTGCACTGTATTTAAAATATATATTCAGCTTAGAGATCAAATAGCAAAATGAGCTGCTTCCTGTGCACGCCTGTGTACCTGCAGCTGGTAGGCCATCTCTGATTCAGCCCTCTTAGTGTTGACTTCAATGTCATAGGCTGCCTTCTTCAGCTCATAGTCCCTTTGAGCCTTCGCCATGTCAATCTCATTCTTGTACTGAGCCGATATTTTCTCCTGCATGGCATGAGCTTCCTGCAGAGAGAGAGTCAAAGAGGGATGGAGAAAGGATGGAGGTGATCAGGATCAATGGGAACAGATGTCTAAAATAAACAGGATGAAGATGCTAAAAATACAGACAGAGTTTAGACAAATGGCACCAGTGACGAGGCCAATAAGACTAAGGTGAAGACACACAGTGAAGTGCTCTGTAAACAACCTTCTAGATGATTTAAATGCAGCTTCTATTATTAGCAAGATAAGTATTTATCCAAGTGTTTCTAAAAATAAAGAAAGATCTTCAAACTACATCAACAAGCCCCATTGACACCTGTTGCAAAGAGA